TCAGAGCATTCTCACTTTTCCTCGTCCATAAAAACATTCTGGCTTTTTATATAAAACCAGTAGCGTAGTAAACTAGCTCCACCCACCAGCAGCCAAAATCAGTTTTACCTGCGAGTGGTCTAGCCTCGATCAATGCCCCAGGCCCTAGAACTGGCGGGCCAATCACACGGCGGAGATGTGTTTTGAATTTCTGGTGCAAAGTGGGCGGAGTTTTGAGGGCGTGATGTCAAGACTGCACCACGCTGGAGAAAGCGCAACAAGGAAGATGGCAACAACCATTGAGGAGTTCTCGTTTGACTCAGCTTTGGAATCAGTCTTGGAAGGATTAGACTTGGGGTTTTCGTTGAAACGTGAGCAGGAAGAGGCTCTACGCTCATTAATTTTTAAGAAGGACGTATTCACCGTTGTAAGAGTTCAGCCCGGATAGCTTAGAAATGTACAGATCTGTACGTTTAGTAGATCATAAAGTTTAATTCTCTCTTTGAGGACATTTATTTCACAGTTTTTAGTGCCTGCTTTTATTTAAGGTTTGATAAATATGGGATACATTTACATTTTACATTCTTCACTAAAGCAGATTGCAGCTCTGCCTTTGGGAGTTTTCTGACTTTTAAACTTGATCCAGGGATTTTCAGCAGCGCTTTGATTCTCCTGTTTATGACTCAGCAGGTCGCTTTGCTTTGACTCTGAGATAAACCCACTGATCAAAGCAAGGTGGTGCACAATTATTCTAAATGCTTAGAGGTTTATGGTCCTTGTTATGATGATTAGTCTAAAGGACGTTGAAGGAGTGTTATTCACATTACAGAACAGTTTTAGGTTTGTTTTCAGCTATTGTGGATTAGAGAAGATTCACAGTGAATCAGAGCTGGTTAATCCTGAAGTTCCTTCATTTAATCTTTGTTAAAGGGGAACGCCGTTCTTTTTTTTTTTTTTTTTTTTTCATTTGTACTCTTGATTTTACGTTTTTACATCATGTTCTACTCACCCATATGAGTTTTGTCTCATTTAAAGCTGATCTGAAGATATTCCTTTAGGTTATGTCAAAGTAACGTCTTCCTATGGGCAACGACTTGAAGGCACAAATTAAACTGTTCATAATTTATTCTTTATGGTACGCCAGCATTCATAACATGTAGGCGAATCACTGTCCCCCAGACATCAGACATTTTATTTTTTAGAAATTTTATTTTTTAAAACAAAGCGGAGTTTGTATGACGTCATCAGTGCGCGCCGGCTACC